GGAAGCTCAGGGAGAGATCTGGAGAGAGGCCAGTGGGCAGAGTTCAGGGGTCACGGGCTGGACAAGGAGACAAAGACCATGTGGGGTAAAGGGGTGAGAGGAGAAGCTCAGGGTGGCACCAGTAAAAGCAAAGCACAATGGCATTTTCCTCCCCAGACCTTCTTACCTCCCTCCGTGGTCTCCACAGGGAGCCAGTGGGTCCAGGGCGAGGGGCCCTGGCTGCTGGTGCAGGATACCCGGATGTGATATGGGGTGTGAGGAAGGAGCTTTTCCAGCCGAAGCTGGTGGGGGGGCACAGATACTTGCAACGTGATGGGCTCTTCTGGAGGGTCTGGCTCTCCCAGCCAAACACCCAGCCCGTCGTCAGACAGCACAGCCTGAGGATGGAGAAAGACATGAGGACCAGAGACAGTAGTCGCACTCTTGATTGTGGTCTGGGTGTGACTATGCAACTTTGCAAGGATACGTATGTGGGTCTCTGAGTGTGTGTGTGTGTGTGTGTGCATTTGTCTCTGAGTATGCATGCATCTCTGTGTGTTCGAGTGCACGTGTGTTGTAACTTCCTAACAGGACAACAAGGACATCCAGATTTGGAAAGAAACCATAGGGCCACTCTATCCGTGTCTTGCCACTTGCAAAAGCCACCTCTGGCAAGACTCTTTTTTTTTTTTTCCCTTTCTGAGCCTCCGTTTCCTCATTTAGAGGATCAGAGATGCCTTGAAAGGTTAAAAGATTAAATGTACAAGCTGAGGAGTGGCTCTCCGCGGTAGAGCACTTGCCTAGCGCATACACTGGATTCCCCAGCGCCACACACACAAACACCCCTAAGCAAAACCCCAAAGCAACAAGAAGACAGGACCAAATAAACAAACAAAAATGATTAAATGCAGTTGTGAAGCTCTCAATGGGGCACGAAGCTTCAGCAGCTCAAGGACAGACAGCCTGGACTACATAGTGAGTTCTTGCTTTGGGGAAAAAAAAAATCAGGGCCAGGTGGTGGCAGTGGCACACACCTTTAATCCCAGCAATAGTGAGGCAAAGACAGGCAGATCTTGTGAGTTTGAGGCCAACCTGGTCTATAGAATGGGTTCTAGGACAGTCAGGACTATGCAGAGAAATCCTGTTTTCTCTTTCTTTCTTTTTCTTTCTTTCTTTCTTTCTTTCTTTCTTTCTTTCTTTCTTTCTTTCTTTCTTTCTTTCTTTGTTTTTTGAGACAGGGTTTCTCTGTGTAGCTTTGGAGCCTATCCTGGCACTCGCTCTGGAGAACCAGGCTGGCCTCGAACTCACAGAGATCCACCTGCCTCTGCCTCCCAAGAGCTGGGATTAAAGGCGTGCGCCACTGACGCCCCGTGAGAAATCCTGTTTTAAAACACAAATAAAGGAAAAAGAAAGAAAAGCCAATCTCCAGATCTTGCCCCTTATTGTGTGACAAGGGGACTCTACTTGTCATATGTCAAAGTTTAATGACATGTAGATTAGTTTGTTTTAACACAATAATATCAAATTGTCCCCTCTCTGACTTCTTTCTTTCTGAAACAGGGTGTCACTATGTATCCATGGCTGGCCTGGAACTTGCTACATAGACCAATCTGGCTTCAAACTCAAGAGATGCACTCATCTCTGCCTCTGTTGTTGTTATTGTTGCTGTTTATTTGTGAATGTGAGTATGTGTGTTATAGGACAACGGGTATTGAGTCAGTTCTCTCCTATTACTCTTAGGTCCTGGGAACTGAATTCAAATCGTCAGGTTTGGCAGCAATCACTTTTACCTGCTAAGCCATCTTGCTGGCCCTACATTGTTTTTTGAGACAGTGTCTTTCAACACTAGGCTAGCCAGCCAGTGAGTTCCAGGGACCCACCACCTCCATCTGCCCAGCACTGGTATTACAAGTATGTTCCACTATGCTCAGCTCTTTTGTGTGGGGTCGGGGGATCAAACTCGTGTCCTTAACCTTGCATGCTAAGCACTGTACTGATTGAGACTATATCCGTACCCCTTTCGTCCCACTCCCCCTTTTATGGCATGACCCAAGGGTCTCATCTATGTTGAGCAGTTATTCCATCACTAAACTCTACCTCAGCCCCCAAGTCAGTATTTTTCAAGCGCCTACTATGTGTTAAGTCCCTTGTTCTTGGATAAACACATCCAATTCGTCTTCTCCACTTAAAGCCTCAATTCTTGTTCTCATTCCCATTTTACGGATGGGCAGGTTCAGGCCCAGAAGCTCAGAAGCTTTCCAAAAATGTCATAGTCCCCAAAGAGGACTTGACAAGATCCAAGAAGGAGACAGGCCAATGATGGGTGGCGGGCAGTGGGGGGACGACGAGGAGCCTGCTCTCTGACCTACAATGACAGATGGGAAGAGGAACCTCTGCCAGGACAAAGGGGAGATGGGTGCAGACCGTGGGCTCAAATCCACTCCCACTTCTCTTTTCCCTGGACGGCCATGACCCTCCCTCAGGAACTGTCCAGCCTGAGCCTGTGGGAGCAGGAAGTGAGACCTGGAGAAGGAAGGACACACACTTCTGCTTTTCTTTAGACGCTGCGTGGATGTGGGTAGGAGTGCAGCTGCAGCTGACCTGACATCTGAGGGCTTTCAAGTTGGGGAAACTCCAGGATTCAACCTCAGTTTTGTTCTTCTAGCTAGGGGAGCAGGCCACTTTCCTTTTCGGATCTTTCAGCTCTGTACCTTAAAAGGGGAAAATCCCTCCTTGGTAGATCCTAGGCAGGGGCTCTACCACTGAGCCACGCCCCCAACCCCTCACTGGGAGATTCTAGGCAGGGGCTCTACCACTGAGCCGCGCCCCCAGCCCCTCACTGGGGGATTCTAAGCAGGGGCTCTACCACTGAGCCGCGCCCCCAGCCCCTCACTGGGGGATTCTAAGCAGGGGCTCTACCACTGAGCCGCGCCCCCAGCCCCTCACTGGGGGATTCTAAGCAGGGGCTCTACCACTGAGCCGCGCCCCCAGCCCCTCACTGGGGGATTCTAAGCAGGGGCTCTACCACTGAGCCGCGCCCCCAGCCCCTCACTGGGGGATTCTAAGCAGGGGCTCTACCACGGAGCCACGCCCCCAGCCCCCTACTGGAGACTCTAGGCAGGGACTCTGCCCCTCAGCCATACTTTCAGCTTTTAAAATATTTTATTTTAACTGGGTGGTGGTGGCACACACCTTTAATCCCAGCACATGGGAGGCAGAGTCAGGGGGATCTCTGTGAGTTCGAGACCAGACTGGTTTACAAGAGCTAGTTCCAGGACAGGCTCCAAAGCTCCACAGGGAAACCTTGTCTTGAAAAAACAAAAAACAAAAAAATAAAAAAATCTTTTATTTTGAGACCATCTTGCCATGTTGCCCAGGATAGCTTTGAACTCTTCATCCTCTTGCTCCTAAATGCTGGCATTATAGGCCTGTCACATTATAACTGGGCTGTTATATATTCCATCAGACAGCCTCTTCTGTTTGGCCTATGCTAGGCAACACTGAGGTGACCATGTGACTAACAACACTGTCCACAGAGAGCCCAAATGCCAGAGGGCGACAGGCCTACTCCAGACAGTGACAACCGAGAGTGGTCAGGACAAAGACAGTAAGCATAGCGCTGTGACAGGAACAGCTACAAGTCCTGTTGGCTCAGAGCTCCCAATCTGACTAAAGTCAGTATTATTAACACTAAAAAAAAAAAAAAAAAAAAAAAAAAAAAACAATAAAAACCAGATAGTAGTCTGTAATACATCCCCAGACACTGTTTTAAGCTGGCTACTTAGATGGGAGAACCAAGGCCCACAATGGTTATGGGATTTGCTCAAGTTCAACAGGACACTTGGATTAACAGGTGTCTCTACTGTCTCCCAACAACACTCAGTGGTGTGGAAGGGCTGGTTTTTCATAGGGCAGCTGTGGGCCTGGGGGTGTGGACAGAAGTAGGGTTCAGATGGAATCAGTCAGTCACAGGGTCTTACCTGCAGGTTACAGTGGGTAAGCGGGTAAATGCCACTCAGGCCGGGGGTCCAAGCTACCTCTAGCTCCGTGGGCTGTCTCGAAACCACGTGGAGATGGTGAGGCCTCTGGGGGAGCACTGTGGACAGATGAGGGAAAGCTGATTCTTGGGAACCTTCACTAAAGGCTCTCCACATTACCTCTGCCTTCTCTGACCTCTGCTCCAACCTCCCCATCCCATCCCATCCTCATCACCAAGATCCCCGAATCCTCTTGCTGTCACCTGTGACAGTAGCTGTGCGGGAGGTGGTGACTCCCTTGGCGTTGTGGGCTTCACAGGAGAAAGAAGAAGTCTTGTTCAGGCCTGGGGAAGAGTATGAGAAAATACTAGAGTCACGCGGGGGAAGGGGCGACTCCCAGGCTACGCTGAGCCCACACACCTTGCCTGACCTGGCCAGGTCATGCCAGCCCACCTCGTATTTTCATGGAGTGGGTGAGAGTGTGGGAGAAAGAGAATGACATGTTAGGAACTCTATTCCCACACACCAGTCCTATGTCTCACTACATGGCCACACATGGCCCACATAGGCTCACATAACTACACTGTCATGCCCATAGGCTCACATAACTACACTCCATACATATTAAATAATAAAAAAGGCTTTGGATTCGATCCTAGGACAGGAGAACACATGTACAGGTGTGTCCCCCCCACACACACACACACACACACACACACACACACACACACACACACACACACACGCACACTCACACGCGCACACACGCACACACACACACACACACACGCACGCACGCACACGCACACGCACACGCACACACGATGCACAGAGAAACACACATGCTTACACACATGTACGCGGAAACACACGCTCAACTCACACAGACTCACTCAGACACATTGACGTGTTCACGTCCGCCAAGCCAGATCATGCTACACACTGTCATCCCAGAGAATCTGGCAAGCTGAGGCAGGAGGATCTCAAATTCAAGCCTGCCTGGCAGAGTGAGAACAAGGCTCCGTCTCAAAATCAGGCAGTTAAAAAACAGATTGGAAGGGACTGGTGAGGTGACTCGGTGGTTAAGAGCACTGACTGCTCTTGCAGAGAGCCTGGGTTCAGGTCCCAGCACCCACATGGCAGCTCACAACAGCCTCTAATTCCAGTTTCAGGGGATCTGATACTCTCTCTGAAGTCCACTATCCCAGCATGCATATGGCCCCCACACATACGCTCAGGCACACACATTTATGTATAAAACAATTTTTTTTTTAAAAAAACAAGATTCTGGATGTAGCTCAGTTTTCTATAGTGTGGAAGGCCCTGGGTTCAATCCTCGTTCCTGCAGAGAAAGGGGGCCAGGCCCTTGTAGACATATACCAATGTATCAATGCATACTCACACAAGCCTACACAGACTTACAGAGAGAGACAAGGAATGAGCACACACTTAAGGACGGAAGTCTGTGGTAGTATGCAAGTGTTTGATCATGGATAAATCTGTCTACTATACCTGCTTCCTCTCTCTCTCTCTCTGTCTCTCTCTCCCTCTCCTCTCTCTGTCTCTCTCTCTCGCTCACTCTGTCTCTCTCTCTCTCTGTCTCTCTGTCTCTCTCTCCTCTCTCTGTCTTGCTTACTCTCTCTCTCTCCCTTCTCTCTCTCTGTCTGTCTCACACACACTCTCATGCTGTGCACAGTCTTCCCACAGATGCCTGTTCAATTTCTCTCTCCTTCCTTTATGCTCTCTTATCTGAGGACACAACTAAGTGACTCTGTCGCTGACCAGTCTGTGGGGAACGGGACCCTGCCCCCCTCCTCTGCTTTGCTTTCCCTTCCTCCCCACTGTCAGCGGGTTTCACATGTCACCCAAGAATCACACTGCTTAGGGCTCTCCCTCAGCAGAATGTCATTCTAGGAGAGCAGGGATCGTCTGTTTAGGTAACCTTAGGGCGGCAGCATTGCCTGGCACACGGTAGGTGCTCCGCAAATGTCTGTTGAATCAGTGAGTAAATTTTTAAAGGGGTGTGTGTGTGTGTGTGTGTGTGTGTGTGTGTGTGTGTGTGTGTACCATA